GGAAATATTGTGTTTGATTCCAGACCAACACAATAAAGCAAATATCACAATAAAGCGAGTCACAGATTTTTTTGTTTCTCAGTGCATATAAGTTATGTTTATACCATACTGTAGGCTATTAAGTATGCAATAGTAGTCTTAAAACAATGTATGTACCTTCATTAAAAAATTACTTTATTACTAAAAAATGCTAACTATAATCTGAGCCTTCAGTGAGTCGTAATTTTTTTTCTGGTAGGTCTTGTCTCTGTGTTGATGACTACTGACTGACCAGGATGGTGGTTGCTGAAGTTTGGGGTAGCTGTAGCAATTTCTTAAAATGAGACAATTAAGTTTGCTGTACCGATTGACTCTTTTCACAAAAAATTTCTCTGTAGTACATGATGATGTTGGATAACATTTTACCCATAGTAGAACTTCATTCAAAATTGGAGTTAATCCTCTCAAAACCTGCCTCTGCTTTATGAACTGTTTACGTAATATTCTTCAATATTGTTGTGTCTCAGGGAACAGGGAGGCTCAAAGACAGGGAAAGAGATGGGAAATGGCCAGTCAGTGAAGCAGTCAGACACATGCAACATTTATCAATTCGTGGCACCCCAAAGCAATTACAATAGTAACATTAAAGATCACTCACTGATCACAGGTCACCGTAACAGAAATAATTACAATGAAACAGTTTGAAATACTGGGAGAATTACCAAATGTGACAAGAAACATCATGTGAGCACAGTGTTAGAAAAATAGTGCCAATAGATATGCTTGATGCGGGGATTCCACAACCCTTCAATTTATTAAAAAAAAAGTCTGTGAAGTGCAATAAAGAGGTAGACCTAACGAGTTATACTTACTCATATTTTTCCTCTCCCCATTCCCACAATGGTCATGGTTGGGATGAGTACAAACTGGGCATGAATCATCTGTTCATTGCTCGATGCTGGTAACACGAACACACATAAGGGAAATATGTGCTGAGCTCCCTGTAAGGCTTTTTTATGCAAAAAATGAGGTCCTTTCTCTAGTTGACTGGGGTCTGATAAGACCAGTCCTCTCATATTTGCAGGGTTACCCAATTTAGTACTTTCTCCTTTCTTAAGAATACTTCTTGAATAAAATATCCCCTTTAACCATATGCAAATTCATCCTAGGAAAATCTCTCAATTACCTATTTCTTCACACATCAGGTCTTTCAGTTCAGTCCAGTCTCATGAATATCTATTACTATTTAAAATTCAAGATGAGATCCAATGTATCTTTTGTTCTCAAAATTTCATTGTTATGCTAGCACTGCACCATTCTTCCTTTTATTCATTTATTTACTTTTTGTATCTGGGAGATCTAGCATATTTGTCAAATTATTTTCTTGAAACAGGCCTGAGAAAAGTATGAAGAAACAATGAAATAATCCATCTTCATAAATAATCACTTCTGTTTTCATGATTAAAAGATTATTCATTCTGAAATTTCTTCTGTATATGGAACAAGACAGGAAGGAACATTCTATTTGTGATATGTTCTTTATGGGAGAATATAATTTAATAAATAATCATTATAATTCAATTACTTATACTATACAATTACTATACTTAACAATCACTGTAACTGCAGTACATAATGGGGCAAAGTACCAAACTTTTGATCAATCAACAGCTTCTACCTACTATGTACAAAAGAATCTGCATTATTTTAGCAATTTTCTCAGCCTTCTTTCCTTTATTTCTAGATGACAAATCTCTTCCTAGAATAAGTCATTTGAGTCCATTTCCCCTGACTTCATATAAACAAATTGATTTAGAAGTTATCTTCTAGAATTAAAAGGTGACCAGTGGCCATGGTTACAGACAAACCAAGGTTTATATACTTGATAAACCTAAGACTGCTTTATTCCAGAGTTAATGATTACAAGTAGGAATGTATACATAGTTTCAAGAATATTAACAAACTTTATACATTCTATAAACAAGTTAATTCAAAATAATTTTATAAAATATATTTCATGGCTTTTATATTCATTTTTAATTATATTAAACTACTTAGGATGCTTAACGGCTTTTCTTTTTTTGCATAGCGTTTGTAAAACTCAAGATTAAATACCTCAAAAGAAAAAAAAACCTATATACTCTTGCTACAAATGATAACTTTCATTATGGATAACCATCAATAAAAAACTTGGAGGTAATCATTTTAACAACTACATCCCAGAAACCACTGCTACTCTAAATTCTAAAAATACTTAATTTCTAAAAGAAAATTTATTAAGTCAAAAATGAATGATTTATGTAGCAAATAACTTTTAATCCTTCTTTTCAACAGATTCTAGTTCAACTACCATTTATTTTCATGTAATACCAAATTTATCTGTTCCCAATCTGCAAAAAGAAAAGGTAAAATCATAAACAGATTTCATGCTGGTTTGTTACAAAGAATATAAAGTGTGTGTGTTTTTAAAAATGTAGTGGCCACATCTAGAATTCCTTACTTAGTTACAGAGATGTCAGTATTTCTAAAGCTTTAACTAACTGATTTATACTGAAAAGCCAAACCCTAACCATTTACTCAAAAAATACCAACTAGCACCCATTAAGTATTTACCACATAACAAAAAATGTTTTTTTTTTAAATTCAAGTTCTAAAATGAAATTTTAAAAGGCGATATTACCTATGAGCTCAGGTAAACAAAGAACAAAGAATGAAATATGGCTATGAATCTATGCTTGAAATAACCCCCGCAGCACCTACTGACAATTATTTCTGCCTGTACCAAAACAAGAACTCGGTTTGCTGCACAGTCACTCTCACCACATTGTGTGGCAATCTTAAAACACAGAATCAAAAATTTAGAGTGAGAATGAGACCTTAGAGATAACTTCATTTTATAGAGCAGGACGCTAAGGCCCACAAGGGTTGAGGGATTTGTCCAAGATTATAAAAGGAAGAGATAGCACAGGTGAGTTCTGCCTATTGAAAGATGATGAACCAACTGACTTAAGGCATAGATATATGGCTGGCTAAATGCACACTAACCTGTTTAAGGAAAAATGATCTTTATTTAATTGTTGGTATCTAGGGTAATTTTAGAAATATTGTTTTTAGTTAAGTTGAATAAAAATAATTCTATAGATTTTACATGTTACATATAACATACATATAAGCTTACATATTGGGGAAGCCACGTGGTATAGTGAATAAAGTAGAGTGAGTGTCTGGGAAATCTAAGTTCAAATTCTTCCTCAGATACCTAGTAGCTATGACTCCGGGTAAGTCACAATCATTCAGCCTTAGTTTCTTTAACCATAAAATGGAGATAATAATGGGACCTACCTTATAGGTTTTTATGAGGATCAAATGAGATAACTTGTGTAAAGCACTTAAAACCTTAAAGAACTACATAAATGCAAGTTATTGTTTTTATTATTACTTAAACTTTAAGTTAAAAGAAATTAGTAACTTATAAGTTTAACTAAAACAACTGTCAAAATGTATTAGACAAAGTATAGCAATGAACCCTGTCTTTAAAAACCTACAAACTTGTGAAAGTCTTAAGACAATTATGTTCAAAATGAATGATAGGGATTTTTTTCTGTTTCAAATAAAAACAAGGGCATTGTATTATCTTCTTTTAAAAAAAAAAACCCACCTCATTTTTATAGCCATGAAACAAGCCAAAACCTACATGTTATCTTATGACTTTTTTTGGTTGACTATCTGAAAAGCAGTTTTGATAATAACAAGACAAAATGTGCACAAATAATGGCTAGTCTTACTTTTCCCAAATCAACTAAGACGTGATGTAAAAATTCTTACACTGATCCATCAATAATCTTAAATCAATATGACACCGCACAAAATCTAAAAAAGAGAATGACTTCACTATCTATCAGTGTACCACTACTAAAATATTAATACAAATTTGTACTTACTATCTTCAATCTAATCCTTTATTTAAGCAAATTTCCTCATTCGTGGCTCTCACATGTCAAAATGCTATCTGTTGAGCCTCATAAAAAGAGAAAATATGCTTTTGTTTACTCTTGTTCTTAATGCTAACTTATTTTTTAGGTGTGCTTTTTGAACACCCCAATGTACCAAATGCACACCACCAAATCATTTGCTTGGCAACTTTTAATAATGATATATTTCACATGAATCAATTTTCCAGATAACAGAAGTCTACTGCCTAAAGCATCGTAGCCATTTTTCAATGGCTACATATCTAAAATGTTTTATTTTCCTGTCTCCTTCCTGCACACAATTTAACCTTTCTTGATGCAAGGTTAATTATCATCAACCTCAACTACTTTCACTGTGCTGTAGTAGAGGGGTGACCTCAGGAACTACTGAAGTCTATAAAGTTGTTTTTCACATTGCTGCTGATTCTTCTGCTTCCTTCCTCACTCTGCTGTTATATTACTTCTCAACATTTTTGTTTTCTAGAAGCCTCTCTTCCCTTTCCTGTTACTTTTAATCTGCTATCCATCCTAAGTTTATAAAATCAGTTAGCTCATTTTTCACAGAATTCTAAACCCACACTGGCTTCATGCCTTTCCTAAAGAATACAAAACATCAGGTCTGTGAGAACTATTTTCCTTATAGGCCTTTTCCACTGTTATTTTCCAAGTTCATCGAAATAGGAACGTTAACTTGGTAAGAATCACTAATGAGGGTTCCAGTTAAGAAGACTGCAGTCCAGGGAACATATCATCTGGTAGTGAAGGGAACAGTTAAAACAGATACAAAATACTGATTTGACAATAGTTGATGGACATTTGCAGTTTATGGTCTTTAACCCCAAGACATACAAGAAAACATTTCATCTGCTTTTTAAAAAAAGAATATAATTAGATGACTTGATCTCTAGAGTTAGATTACTGCAACAAAATCAACTGTATGAGTTCTAAACATTTCTCTTTGAAAATTTGCATAATTGTTAAAACACATGTCACTTGTTAAAACATGAGACCATCAAATGTAACATAAAACAAGCTGTTATAAAACGCACACACAGTTGGGAAACATTTTATTTTTTTTTCTATTTCAAATAACAATTTAATATGTGAATTTCAAGCTTCTCTCTGCCACCTTCAATTTTTAATGACTAAAAAAACCTAACCATTTTACTGTCAAACTTAAGATTGACACTTTAAAATTATTTACTAATCTTGTAAATATACTGTTTTCCTAATATTAACAATTTTAATAAATGTCATACACAATACATTTCTTTGCTCCTTTGGTCAGAAATATAAATAGGAACTTTAAATCAGATTTCTGGATATTCAAAAATGGTTTTTAAAAGCACAAACTCAATCTATTGTAGTAACTACTAAAATTATTTTAGAAGTTACCAACAAGAATTCTTAACAAGTAAGTGTCAAAGCTGTGCAATAGATACAAAAATGTTATGTACAATTTAAAAAACAAATTTAAACCTATAAAACTCAATGGCCAAATTAAAGAAATTTTAAGCATCAAATTTAAAATATCTTCATTTTTTAGGTCATACAGAAATATATTCTGTGAATAATCAGGATTATTTCATAAATATATGTGTATATATAAATATATATACCTAAAGAATTTGCTGTGCGAAAAAAATCCAGCTTATTAAATGAAAAAAAAATTTGCATTTTTAGATTATCAAGATCTTGTCATATTTACCCTTCAAGTGTAATACAATAAGCCAGTTCTGGTGCTTTTGGCACAGTTATTCAGGTATATATTGACACAATCTTATAAACAGAATGCTTTTATATTTTATTCACTGAAATATGAAGAATTTTAAACAAAATCTAGAATTCTGACACATCTATATAGCTACACTGCTTAAATAGAATGGACAAGCAGGTTTTTAAATTCTAAACCTGCCTTTAAAACTGGAACATATAAGACTCCACCATCTACATGTTTTCTCCAATCTATTCCATGTGAATTTCCAGCCTGCATATGTATGTATTAACTTTCTACCCATAAATGACTTTTTTCAGATCACACCCCAGTATATAAGGACAAGAAATAAATGTATAATAAAAAAATTGGATAAATCAGGAGAGGCTTCTTTGTCTTGAATTCTTCACCAACTAATAGGGAAGCAGCGCTGTAGGCGGCCCAAAAGACTCCAAACAGCTTACGGGAAGAAAAAGATATTATATTAGCAAATAAAATTACTCTTTGAATATTACAGGTAAGGAAAAAACCTACCCTCATCCACTGATGACAAACCCTACTCAACCAATTATTATAGAAAATTTAAGCAGCACCCCAAGGACACTCATACTCTAGTAGAGAAAATGAGACTGCGAGTCAGAATACCTAGATTCTAGTCCTGGCTATGTTATTATCTAGTGGTGTACCTTTGGACAAGTTATTTCACTTCTTTGAGTCTCAGTTTGCTCAACTGAGAAAAACAAAAGGAGGCTAGATTAAATTGACTACGTTCTTATCAACTCTAATGGCCTAAGATTCACACTTAATTCAATTGTTTGTATACCCTTGTTTTTGCTTATTAGACCTTAAAATGACCCTGAGACCTTAAACTAGAGAAATAATAATAGTTTACATTTTCAAAATCTTTCCCCTACAAATTAGGGGAGGCAGGTAGGAATATCAGTGAAGAAGAGACCTCTTCCTCCTCACAAAAATTTATTTCAGTAGGGCGAAGCACAAACAAGAGTATACAACCTCTTGCTGGCCACCTCTGAGAAGGCTACTAATTTAAGTCAATTAAATTAAACAAAAATGAAAATCTTACTTCTTTCAAAGCACCTTCAGTCTCAAGTTTTAGCCCCCTCACTTGAAATTACTTTGTATTTACTTGTTGTTAAGTCGTTTAAGTCGTGTCCAACTCTTCATGATCCCACTTAGAGTTTTCTTGGCAAAGATACTGGAGCGGTTTGCCATTTCCTTCTTCAGCTCATTTCACAGACGAGGAAACTGAGGCAAACAGGGTAAAGTGACTTGCCCAGGGTCACATAGCTAGTAAGTATCTAAGGCCAGATGAAGGTCTCATGAAGATGAATCTTCCTGATTCCAGGACCAGTGCTCTATGCACTTCACCACTTAGGCTGCCCCTTATATTTACTTATTTATGTGCAAGTATTCTGCACCCCCAGTCTCCTTGAAGGCAGAGATTACTTTATTTATCTTTGTATTCCCAACACCAATTGTATTCTACACAAAGTAGGCTTTATACAAAATTAAAGTGCATATTTTCCTCATCACAACTAGCAACAACTGCTCAGCCACCACCAACAGGCAGATGAGCATAAAAGCCCTGGGAGGAGCAGTACCATGTACCCCACGCTCCCCTCCCATCAAAAACACCATGTGGACCACCATCTCCCCTCAGATCCAGATGAAGACAGCCCAGGATCCTGAACCCAAGAGTCTTTAGAATAGCAATACTTCCAACCCAGTGCCCAGAGTTATCATCTTGGGAAACAACCCCTGTGAAGAAGCCTAGTAAATGCTCCTACAAATGCTATAGTTACATATTGAAGACACAAAAAATAAAGTTTTGTCACTAAAGTCCTTGGCACTGTCAAATGGTTCAACATCAGAAAATTATATGATTTTATCAGTAAAAATTATATTAAAGAAGAAGCATCACCATCTGCTTTGCCATTACATCCTAAGGACCATAGGATCTCTCCATCTGACTTAAAGCTGAAACCTTCATTATGTGTTGTCTCCCCCATAAGAAGGTGAGCTCCCTGAGAACAGGGACTGTTTTCTATTTGTATCCCCAGGGCTTAGCACAGTGCTTTGCATACAGAGTGCATATAATAAATGCTTGATTCATTCATTCATTTGTTTATTCACTCATTTATATTATTTCAGGGGAAAGTTTGATGTTAAGTAAAAATAGTTCTGTTGGTACCTCAATCTTTTTTAAAGCTAGAGAACTAGCACAACGATTTTCCACTGGAAGATACTATATAGCTTTAAAAACAAAGTATTAACTGTATATATAACTTACCTTTATTAGTGTTGATACAACGTCAAATGATCCAACCACCAGAAGTAGAGGAGCTATTACAATGAGGGGAAGTAACGAATATCCTATGACACCAAGAACTTGACCATACGCAACCTGTGAATTTTAAAAATTAATATTATAGGAATCCAGAACATCGCAACAACTTTGAACATTCACACTATTTGTGTAGAATTGACATATAAGACTTAAGAAATAATTATGAGGTAACTAATAAATCATGCTTCATCTACCATTACCCAAATCAGTCCAGTCCAGGTCCCACCCCCTTTCTCCCATTTGCTGATTCCTTCATACAAGTGATATTGAGATAAAATGAACACTGAGAAACAAATGACAAGTAGAAATAAGCGCAGTCCGGTCTTATGTACATGTCTATGAGTGTATATGTGTATGTATATGTATGTTTATGGATATCTATCTATATGTATATATATCCATACTTAATTATAGCATTCTTTAGGGCAGAGGTGGAGGAGTGGGGTCCGGGGAAAGGAGAGGAAAAAAATAAAGTAAAAAGTGCATAGCAGAGAACAAAAGAAAACCTACAATGAAGCAAAGAAAAATGGGGCAGCTCTGAAAACAATGTGTAGTATTTATTATAAAGGTTTTCCTGAAATGGAAAATTGTTTCATATTGAATCCTCTCTTATGTTCCGCTGTGTACACAGCAATGTTTTTTTTTCTTTTCTCATTTTGTATTTAAGTTTAAAATAAATAATAAAATTTACCAAAAAAAGATAAAATTAATATTATGGGCAAACTTGAAATGTGGATCATAATGTCAAAGTAGAGAATAGGAGTGGTCCCATCCCATCTTTAGTTCTGGTGGAAGAACTTATTTATTGATATATACATAAATTCACATAATTAATTATATTCTGGGGCAACAATTCTCAAATTAACTTGGGAACAGAATTTTTTTAGGATAAAAATACACTGACAGAACCAATTAATATTTATTGAAGACAAGGGAAGGGAAAGATTTGGGAGTACAGAATACTGTGTTAAAATGGGGGACACTCAGAGATCTTTAGAGCAAAAGAGAGAAAATCAAATCTATTTTTGAAAACTAATATGTAGCAAATATTTTTCATCCATAATTTTGCATTTGATATTCTAGAATGAAAAATTATCACTAGCCTGAAATTCACAGACTCATTATTTACAGTTTGGGAGATGGTAATCTAGGTTCAACTTTGATACAGGATTAGAGTGATTTATATGTGTAAGATGGGGGTAAAAGCAATTGCTTTACTAACATATATTTCATGACAGACAACAAGAGTGTGAAATCAAGATAGATTTTCTCCCTTATAATTTGTTGGGGTTTTTTTTGTTTTGTTTTGTTTTTGGCTAGGCAATGGGGTTAAGTGACTTGTCCAGGGTCACACTGCTACTGTCAAGTGTCTGAGGTCAGATTTGAACTCCGGTCCTCCTGACTCCAGGGCCGGTGCTCTATTCACCGTGCCACCTAGCTGCCCCTTCTCCCTTATAATTTAAAGCCTGACTGGATATGTTCAATGTTTTGTTTTGCTTAACTATGTATGTATGTTACGAGACTTTTTTTCTCTTTTTCTTTTACGGTGTGGGGAGGGGTAAAAGGGAAAGAAAAGAAACACTTATCAATTAAAAAAATCTAAAACCCGAGCACACAAAAAAGGCTGCAGCGACTCTGCCCCATAAAAAAAACTGTAATTGTCCCAGTTCCCTCTATGTTCAATTACAGAATAAAGTACCACAATAAAGTATAGACTTAGGAATAATTTAATTCAAATTCCATTTCTGATACTGGCTAGCTGTGTGACCCCAGGCAACTCACTTCAACTCTCTGAGCTTGACCCAATCTCCTAGACTTTAAATTATACAGAGGTTGCTCACGAAATCATAGTTCCTTGGCATATTCAATTATTCCTGGATTGATGAAAGGGAAACCAGAAAGAATTAAGGAAACTTTTAGGGGGTAAAAATTTAGTAAAAACTGATAAAATAAAATACTGACCATTTTAATTGGGGGGTAAGAGGAGGTACATAATAATGATATCGAATTTTCTCTGAATTTGGAAAGCCAGTTCAAATTTTCTCCCTACCTTCAGGATCATCCTCTAGACAGCTCTTCTGATGTACTTTTTTCCTTATCTACATGAATATAAGCATGTTCTTTTAGATGATCTTTACGGTCCCTTCCAGTTTTCAAATTTTTGGTCATTCCTTTCCCAACAAGTTAAGGTTCTCAAAGAACTGTTATAACAGTCAAGTATATACAGTGAGAAACTATTCTCACAGTTCTCACATTTATTTTCTATTATTAACAAATGAATTATTCTTAAAATCATACACATTATAATGAGTCTATGGAACACAAAATTTTATCACCTAAATAAAGGATAATTTTCATAAAGAGTTACTTACTTCTCCACCAAGTACTCTGGCTAATAAGAAAATCGTTAGGGAGCCAAATATCCAGATAGTTATGATCCATGAAACCACCTTAATAGAAAATAAAAAATTAAACACAATTTTTTCCTCTTGTAAAGTACATCGTAATTGTCAATCATCAAGGTTCAAACTTAGTGGCTATATATAATTTACTGGTTATAAAAAAGTGCAGGCTGGAAAGTCTGGAGAGTACTCCTTTCCCCTTTACAATTAAGAGGTATCCCAACTTTGGAGTTGCTAAATTTTTAGAGAAAGTTGTTGTTTTCCTAAAGCCTTCAGGCTACCTAAGGGGGGTGAGTGGGTGGGTGGGTGAGTGTGTGTGTGGGTGTGTGTGTGTCTGTGTAGATGAATATGGAAAAACACAGGGTAAAAGCAGTGTTTTGGTTTGATGGCTAAAGCCTGAAAGGGAGTTGCTATAATCAATCTGTTGGAGACCCCTGTCATAGTTTTCTAATTGTATTTATTTCAAATAACTGGCATAAAAACTAACAAAAGGGAGAACAGAAATCAATATGAGGATTTTATTTCAAATGCTGAATGTCTGTAAAAACACTGTACTAAACTATAAAAGCAATAAGTCTGGACCTAAAGTATTAAAGTTTCCTTTTAATAGATATCTTATATTTCTCATGAGTAATTTTGACATGTGTATGAGTAAAATAACTAATTAGTAAACCATCATGATTTTCTAAAAACATGGAGCACATTGAACACAAAAGAAAGAATCAATAGCAGGAGACAGAGAAAAGGGAGGAGGTCAGTCAATCTGGCAAGACTTCTTTAAGAGACATCTGTTTGCAATGGGGACAATTAGCACACTGGCAAGGATTTGTAAAATGCTCACCGTCCAAATTTGAAAGACTAAGAATTTAGGAATACTGGAGAGGAGGAAATCAGTGGCCCACAAAAATAGGGGCTGCTGAAAGTTGAAGGGAACCACAAATAACAGGTATGGAGGCTGAAGGAACTGTTTCAGTGACCTATAAAAATAGTATACAAATTGTGGAATTTCACTTATTCTAATTTTAGATATTAAATAAAGTATGAGTAAAACTAGGACTGCCTTTGTATTGCATGACTCACTGAAGGTACCATCAAGTTCAGCAATTAAATTTTTTTTTCTGTCACAGACACGTCTTTGGCAATCTGGTGACTCCTACAGACTTCTTTTCAGAATACTGCTTTTATGTGCATTAAATAAAATGTTAGACTACAAAAGAAACCAACTATATTGAAATAAATATAGTTTTTCCAATCCAATCTCAGGGATCCTTGGGGTGTTTCAGTGTCCTTAGGGGTCTGTGGATCCCAAGTTAAAAACCCCTCAACATATTTATTATTCTTTATTAGTAGGGAAAAAAGTCAAATTGGTTGGTTCAATATACCAATACTCCTAAACAAATCAGCCTTCTGGACTTGTCCTTCACTAACTCTGCAAGCAAATCAAATGAGGAAGGAGTAACCTAGTTTGGCAAATTTTTGATTGACCAAAAGTTTTTATTATTCTAAAGGTACCTATCTCCTCAGTTAACCAAGAAAAACAAATACTTGACTGTATTCAATATTAAAACACTTTTTTAAAATGTATGAAATAAAGCAGTGTACTTACCCTGAACTGTCCATATAATGAAATCATTGAGAAGAAAAGAACAACTGCTAGAGGGCCCCAAAAATCAGGATTGTCCCTCACCACTTGTCTATTAAAACCAAGTGATGGCATTGGCATCAATACACATCGAATTTTGTAGTAAATATCCTTCAGATCAATGTCCAGTTCCTCCCTATAATTTAAAAGATATGGAATGCTGTCACTTCAAAATTACCAAGGCCAGTAATCTTGAGCCTGGGTATAAAAATATATACAGGGTTGTTTCTGGAAGCGCCAACTTTTAGTAGTATGTCTTTCCATCTGTGGTTATAGTTCCCATGTAGCATCTTTACTTTCACTGAATATCAAGCTGACCTGATCTGTTAATTACAGAATCCATTACAGAAAAGAAAGGGGGAAATTTTCTGGCTTCTTAAGAGTTCTTACTAAATGGAGAACATATACATTATGATGACACAGAAGAAAGAATTATGACATAAAAATCACCTTAACACAAAAAGTGTCCTGAACAAGGGAAGTGATAGTTTTCTTGCACTCAGATCTGCTTAGATCATATCTGGAAGACTATTTCCAATTCTCTGCTATCTTCATTAAATTAGAAGCTAGCCAAAAAGTGACTAGGGACTGAAAACCACATCATCTAACTTTTGATGAAAATATCTACTGATATTTAACAAAGGAAGAGGAGACCTTAGAAAAGAAGAGATTGCTTCCTTCTGAGGGGTTGCCATATCTTATTGTGTTTGGACCTAGAGGGAGAAAAAGAACCAAGGGGTAAAAGCTATAGAAAACCAGATTTATGCTCAATATAAAGAAGAGGTAGCATGGTCTAATGACAACCAACCTTGAAGCCACGAAAACATGAATTCAAGTTCCACCTCTGAAATATACTGGCTGTGTGAGCCTGGATTAATTCACTTAACTTTTCTGTGTTCTAGGCAACTATAAGTCTATAAATTGCAGAAATGATACTGATCTGCATTGGTAGAGGGACTTCCCTCACTTGGGAAGTTCCCTATAACAATGAAATCACAGGTCAAGCTCCTATCTATATAAGGAAGAACGTTCTAAAAATTATAGATATCCAAAAAGGGAATGGACTGCATGAGTAAGTCCTATCACTAACGGTGCTCAGAAAAAGGCAAGCTGATCATTTGTTGATGATGCCACAGAAGATTTTTTGCTTCATTAGAGGTTGGACTAGATGACTTCCAAAATTTGCCCCAGATCTAAAATTCTTTGGTTTTTAATAAAATCCATTAATTTAAAACAATCTTTAAGCTCTCTCCCATCTGTTTCTAAACAAAATGAAAGATGAATACCAGCCTCCACAGAGTAAAATTATCTTTTAATAACCAAAAGAAAGAGTAGCATTATTTGGACATACAAAAGAGGCTTGTTATCTTCAGGGTCATCATCTTCCACTTCCAAGAGCCAGCCATAGCCTCTCTGTCTCAGAAATGTAGTTGCTGTAGATTCTTTGATGAAGTCTCCACCAAGGTTTAGTTTGACTTCTGGGGATGCTATTGAACCACTGAGATCTTAAAGAGAAGGAGGGGAAAAGGGGATGGGGAGGTTGAATAAAATGTTCATGATTTAATAAAAAAAAAGCTTACATACAGCTTAGCTTCATTTACTCAACAAATACATATTAATCACCTGTTATGTGAAATACTGGACTAGAGCACAACAACAACTGGGAAAGACAAAAAGATAAATAAGACAGGTCGACAGTTTCTGTCATCAAATAACTCATTAAAATACAAATACTTCTAATTGTGAACGTTGAGAATTTAAAGAATTTTGTAACTGGTTAAGTACCTAAATATCATCTAGTTCAACTTCCTCAATTTATAAATGAGGGAAACAGGCCCAGAGAATTAAATTTTATATTTTAGGTCACATGGGAAGTTAGTTTTGAGCCAGAATTAAAACCCAGATTTTCCAGCTTCAAAGCCAATGAGCTACTACATTCTACCTCTCTAAAATGTAGATAGAAATACACAAAATTCAAAAGACTTTAAATATAATAATATGAAAGAGCAAAATGATAAGCTAACAAACCAGATTCCTTCATTATCAAAGGCATTTATTAAGCCTTTTAGGACATGGTGCTTAAAAGGGCCTACAAATTATCCGACTCATTTAACTATTATTTATTAAATATCTACTATATACACACAAAGCATTATTCTAGGTGCTGGGAAAGATACAATTATATGTGTATGTATACATATACATATGCAAATATATAATTACTATAATGCTAAATAGAAAACATTAAATGCATAAAAGTTGTACAAAATATGATGCAAGTTCCAAGTAAAGAAAAAACTTCCAACTGAAAGAAGGAAATAAAGGAAACAGGGAAGGCTTAGTGGAAGTGGCATTTGGGTTGGCCTTGAAAATCATATAAATTTGAATCAATTCCTTATATATCTTGGAAACTATGCACTGAACAGGAAAACTTGCTGCAAAGATTTGAGAATCAGGAGAAACAACAGGGGGAATTGGAAGAGGAGAAGGATGGAAGGAAGGACATTCCAGGTACAGAAAACTGATATAAAAAGAGCACAAGAAAGCAAGCACCGGACATACGTTAAGAATGATGAGCTATCTACTTTGGCTGAAGTACAGCACATGGAGAAAGGGAGAAAAGTCTGGAAAGGCAGAGATCTCAAATGACAGACTAAGGAATTGTGATTGTCACAGTTATAGAAATGGACCATCACCTGGAATCAAACTTTTTGAGGCCTTTTTTGTTTAGCCTCCTATCTTCTCCCCCAAACCAATCACAGTAAGAGCCACAGTACCATCAAAGGCTATCTTTCATTACATTTCAGTTTGGTACTCCATTTCAAACTTTGAGGTAAATATAATTTGCCAGTCTTTTATTCTTTAAATTCTGTTGTCAGACCAAGCCAGATCAATCTCCTTCCTATTGCACTAGTTTTCCATTCCTGGTCATTCAGTCATACCTGCATTAGATGCATATTCTATGCCTACACTTCCCCATCCTGAACCCATTTCTAAACAGCCCCTATTCCTCTCTACACTGACTCCAAATAGATTAGGCCTGTTTTTGTTTTTTGCCCATTCCACTGTGCTCTTTAAATTCTGCCTCCCTGATCACCAACAAAGTCTTCTATGTCCTTGATCTGTTCAACCAAAGACCTGCCTTCAATTTCTTTAACGTAACAGAAAACTGGCTCTCCAGTAAAGACATCTCATCTCTTGCAACCCTCTGTAATAAATGCCATTCTTTTCACTCCTCTCAACTCACAAGGCTAAGATTAGGGATTGGTATACTCTTCACTCCCCACTTATAGTTTTCAAATCATTTCACTGACACCATCCCCTAATGACCTCTCTCCTCTTTTGAGGTACATGTGATTTGTCTCCAGCACCTACTCCAACTTTGTTACTTTCGCTACTAAATTCCAGGTCATTTCTCAACTTTCTGAATGACTACATAATCTGGTTCACACTGAAACTTGGCTCTAGTATATTGATGTCATTTTTGGTCTCTTCGAGAACGAAGGACAACAACTACACACACATGCATATATATACATACATGACGATGATCCCTTAATTCCTCAAATCCAGTAAATACTACCACCCTACTTCAGTGCTTCACATGTCCCACAGTTTGAAGTGAATTGTGGAGTCAAAGAAATAGATGAAGAAAGGACCTTAAACATCCTGTAATATAGCTCCTTCATTTTACAGATGAAGAAACTGAGGCCCAGAAAGGAGAATTGACTTACCCAAGGTCACACAGCTAACAAGTCAAAGAGCCACAATGTTAACCTTGTTTTTCAGACTCCACGTCCAGTTGTCTTTTTACTACAACTAGCTTTAGTATTTTTCATGTTTCTGTAGTTATGTAACCCTAGAATCCTGATCCTCCACCATTCTTCAACTGTAAATCAACATCCTGGTGGTTTTCTTTACTTTTTCATTTCTCTGTTCCTGTTCTGGTATTACTAAGCATCACTAGAAATTTATGAAAGTGAACTGACTTAACCTGTTATAAGTTGGCACTCAGAGTTGGGCTCACATTCCTGCTTGACAATTCTTCCATTCCACCCCTATCACTTCCTTATTTTATTACCCAAAGAATTTGTCCCAAACCTTTTCTTCAGTGTGGTCCAGTGGAAAGTGCTAAAATTTGGCATCAGAGAACTGGGTCCAAATCCCATCTCTACTACTTACTACTTTGTGGTAATCTCTCTGGGACTGTTTCCTCATTAGCAAAATTGAAAGGAGTCAGGCTAGATAATACTTAGAAGTCCCTTCTAACAATAAATCTTATGATCCTATGATATGAACTTCATATGCCCTCACCTTCACCTAATACTGATCTATATACAGTAAGGTAAAGTCAATGTGGAATTACATCGAAATCAACATTTACTCCACAAAGTGGAGTATCGCGCTAGACACAACATATAAAGTATAGGTAATAAAGTCTCTGTCTTCATTAGGTACATAGTCTATTGGGGTCAGGAGCAAACACAGAATTATAATACAAAGTAAAACATAAGTGCATTACCTAATCCTATGTGAGGTCCCAGGGATAAAAGATCATTACTATCTGGGGAAATTCAGGGAAGACTTTATGAAAGAGGTGGCATTTGAATAGAGTTTTAAAATTAGGCAGAAATTTATCACATGGAGGCAAAGACGACATTCCAAGTTCAAGAAGCTAGATGACCTTAGAGATCATATAATGCAAGCCCCCTTATCTGATAGGCAATGAGGAGCAATGAAGGACTTTGATTTATGCATAATAAAGTTTAACTTGGCAGCAAGATGATGGATGGACTAAGGGGTGGGAAGAAACTGAAGACAAAGTAGCCAGTGGTTTCCTTTTACATATATGCCACTAATGGGGTGTTGAGTGTGTTCAGGGAAGACTAGAACCTCTGGCATGAGGGCTGCAGAGCCTTTTTCAGGCTTGTTTTCCACCTTTGGTGTCCACCTGATCCACCTAACTCTCACCTGTGCCTACAAGAAGCAATAGTATGCATAGCAGTCACACGCTGATAAACTGTTTCAGCAGACGGGCTAAACCAGATTAAGGGTAATGGAGGGGTCTCAAATCCATTGGTGAGTTGGGGGGGTGTCTACCCCAAGCATATGAAGACTTCCTCTGGTGGAATGAGCGGATAAGAACACTTTATTCCAACGGCCATGAAGGTGGTGGAAGCAGGCGCTATGGAGTGCTTAGAGCGTAGTTAGACATCGAATTCACCAAGATCATCCACTACATCTCAAGTCAGTCATCTTGACTCTGTCCTACCACTGGACTGCGATGACTCTGGACGAGAGAGTGAGGTCAAGGACTTCATGCAACTCTGCCTCACTTAAATCTAATTTACACATGAATCAAAAGACATCACCTATACCATTTTACCATTTTTACCTATCTCAAAGTCCTGTGGTGACAGGCAAGTGACAAAGCAGGTGTGGATACGCTGGGAATTGTAGTCACAATCCTGCACACAGAAAGCGTAGGCCATAATGTCATCTTCTCACTGGAAGCAGCAGTGGGATTTGGCAGCCCCCTGGGTGTCTGAGCAGCCTTTTAAAGATCACACTACTCACCTCCTGGTGTGAGGAAGAGGCTAGAGAAGGTGCTCTAAAAATTGTCTGCTTAACCAACCCTGGCCTGATCACTGTGGCAGGCAGGGATTCCACCCTGCGGATGAAACACACACACACAAAAAAAGTACAAAAACTTCTGCAAAAATGATTCTACTTACCATCAGTACATGGAATATGCACATACTTACAGACAACACAAAATGCAGTAGACCTGAAAGACAAACAGCTCTTGTTGCAAAGAACTCAGCAGGTATCACATCCAAATAGTAGCCCGAGTGAAACAAGACTGGCAAATGAAGGCCAGCTTATGTTTAAGTCAGAGCTAGATACACATTTTTCTGGAGTGGCTACAGTGAATGGGAATGCCATGAAGCTGGTATAGGTTTTGCAATAAAAACTAATCTAGTCAACAAGCTTGTATGTCTACCAAAAAGATAACAGCAGACTCAAGACAATGCGATTGCCACTTGCAGGAAAACACCATGCCACCATCATCAGTGCCTATGTTCCTACTATGATGAACCTTGATGAGGTCAAAGAAAACTCTTATGAAGACCTGGAGACCCTTATCATCAATGTGCTAAAAGAGAACAAGCTTATAATTCTAGGTGACTTTAATGCTAGAGTAGGTTCAAACTACCACACGTGGCAAGGAGTCCTTGGGAGGAATGGAGTTGGAAACAGCAACAGCAATGGTCACTTACTACGGAAGACTTGTGCATCTCATGACCTTCTCATCACCAACACTGTCTTCTATTTACCTAAATTCAATAAAACTTTGTGGATGCAGCCTCCCAAACACTGGCATTTAACAGACTACGTGACTGTAAGGAGAAGAGACAGACAGGATGTGCGAAAAATGAAGTCAACGTGTGGCGCAGAGTGCCAGATTGATCAGAGACTTATCCTCTCCAAGGATAAATATTTG